CATGCTGGCTGGGGAATTCTGGGAGTTGAAGTCCACTCATCTTAAAATGGCCAAGTTTGGACAACACTGCTCTGGGTAGCTGCTGAGAAGAAGACCCGCGCTGGCACAGATGCTGCCGTTGGCTGGGAGATGTTGGGGTTGCGTCGCTGGGCCCAGAAGGCGCCTGGTGGGTGAAGCAGTTCTGCAACGTCTCTCAGCCGCTTCCCCAACCTGGCGCCCCTCGGATGCCCTGGGGCTGGCCACGGGGGAGGGAAGCTCCAGGGGACACAGCTCAGGACCGCCACTTCGGGCCAGGCCAGGGGAGGGGGCCAGGGATGGGGGAGAGACTGCTTTGCCATTCCAGATGTTAAGGTGGGCTTGGGGCAGAGGGGCACAACAGGCCATCCACCGCAGGAGATGAGAAGGGCACTCTGGCCTCTGACCACACTGTTGTTCCTTCCTCAGGTGATGTCTTCCTCCAGAGGCCCCACCCATCCAGGTGATTCCTCCCCCCCCCCGCAATTTCCAAGGCGAGCGGTGCACAATTAGCAAAGTGATGGTGAAGGAAGACCCTTAATGTGACCGGGTGGGGTCAACATGGCCTTTTGCATAATCGGGGGGGGGGGGGCCTTGCTGGGAGCCTTCCAAGCAAAGCCACACAGGGGAGATGCAATAAAATCTGGCTTGTTTGCTTAGCCTCAGCTGCCCTGCCCATGTGCAGAGTGCAGTTTCCCCTCTGCTAAGCATGGGAGGCTGTAACACTTTCCAGAGGTGGAGGGGGGTCTTCCCGCCCAGTCGTTGCCCCCCATCTTCACGGCGGCCCTTGCTTTGCCTCGGCAGCGCCCGGCCCCAACGACCCCGAGAAAGGCAGTCTAGCCAGCGTCCCAGAAATTATCCGGAAGAAGCGGGATGGCGAGAAGCTGCAGCCGGAGGAAATCCGCTATTTTGTGCAAGGCCTCAGCACGGGCAGCTTGCAGGAGGGGCAAATAGGTGAGCCTGGCAGAGGCAGGGGCGGGGGCGGCAAGGGGACAGCGGGGGGGGACGGGGGGCTGCCCATAGCTCAAGCTCTTCGGCCATCAGCCCCTTCGGTCCAGACTGAACGGTGGTTTGCAAATGGTGGTTCCTCTTTTTTAAATCGGTTTTTAACTATTAAATACAAAAGAGGAAAAAAGAATACACAGAGCTATGAAAAAGGACAAGACTTATGTCTACAGACGTGCGTGTATCCATATTTTGGTGCCATGGTTCGTTGCAGTCCCAAAGCAGATCTGTACGAATCGATGCCATGACCAGCCGGAGCCACGTGTTTGCCCTTCCGAGGCCGAACAGTAAAGTCCATTTTCTTCGTCCAGAAGTCAAAAGTCAAGGGTGAATTTTGCAAACCGTGGTTTCTCGTTGAGCGTACTGGGCAAGCCTGGCCACGGTTGATCCGCAGCTTAGGCAACTTTGCATGCGGCCACGAGGGCCCTCTTCCTCCAGCTGGGACCCCCCCCCCAACCTCTCCCTCTTGCCTTCCAGGGGCCATGCTGATGGCCATTCGGCTGCGAGGCATGGAGCCCGACGAGACGCTGACGCTGACCCAGGAAATGGCTGCTTCGGGGACAACGCTGCCGTGGCCCAAGGAGTGGCAAGAGCTGCTGGTGGACAAGCACTCCACGGGGGGCGTGGGAGACAAAGTCAGCCTGCCCCTGGCTCCTGCGTTGGCTGCCTGCGGCTGCAAGGTGCATCAGGATGGTCACCTCGGGTTGCCCCGCCAGCCAGCTGGGAATCCCCCTCCTCGTCCTCTTGACATCTGAACGTGGGCCGGGTCCTCTGCACCTCAAGGGGCCCTTGGCCAAAGCGGAGGGGGGTGAGATGAACAGCTGCAAAGCACGCAGGCCAGAGGTGCTGAGCCCCGGAGGCGGAGGGTGGAGGAGCCGCTGTCCTGGGGGCTCCAGCAGGGAGCCAAGTGGGTCTCGTTGCACGTCAGCCTCCAAAATATTTTCCCTCTTAGAACAGGGCTGGCCTCGGAGGAGAATCCGTTCTCTTAAGAAGGCAGATCCAAGCCAAAATCATTGCCTTGGATCAGTGCTTCTCAACCTTGGCCACTTGAAGACGTGTGTACTTCAACTCCCAGAATTCCCCAGCCAGCTGTGCT